TCCGCCACCTCCAACACCAGGGCTAGGTAGGATTCATTTTTCTTCCTATAGCCTCAGCCCAGAGCCAGACATACAGAGCCAAAGAGTGGCAAAAAACAAACAAAAAAAACCACACCTCTGATTATTTAGAGAAAAACACAATAAAACAAACAAAATGAGACTGGTAAAAAAATAATTTCAAGCAAGATACTAATGCCTTAGTAAGGGAAGCCTGAAACTTTTGATATCAAGTACCTTCTAATTTTTTTTTTTTGTACTAGGAATTGAACTCTGGACCTTGCGCTTGCAAGGCAGGCGCCGGAACCACTGAGCTAAATCCCTGGCCCAAGTACCTTCTAATTTTAAAACCTGAGAACCAGGCATGGTTGAACACACCTGTAATCCCAGCACTCAGGAAGCTGAGGCAGGACTGTCATGAATTCAAGGCCAGCCTGGGCTACATAGTAAGTTCAAACCCAGTCTGAATTACAGACCAAGAACCTGTCTCAAAAAAACAAAACAAAATAAAATAAAACTTAAGAATTCTGTGTTTCTCAAATCATTTATCCCATCCCAACCCACCAACCAGGAAAACAACAGAAGACATAGCTCAGAAAGAAGTGAGTCCTAGTACTAATAGATCTGAAGAGAAGTCTCACTATGTGCACCATAAGTACCTTGATCTTCCAATCTTCCTGAGTAACTTGGATTACAGATGTGTGCCAGCATACCTGGCTTAAGGGACTAATTTTTTGTTGTTGTTGTTGTTGTTGTTTTGGTACTGGGGATTGAACTCAGGACCTTGTGCTTTCGAGGCAGGCAGCGACAAACCACTGAGCTAAATCCTCGGCCCCGGGACTAAATTTCGAGTTAAACGAAAAGCCAGGCATCTTCACACTTTGCCCCTTGCTTATACAGCCATATTCTGACTGCTCTATGTCAGGTCCCATTTCCCAAATCAGCCCTACATGAACAAGGGGCAAAGATAGATCCTGGAGAACCACAGGATTCTCTTATAGGATGAGAACCTAGATGGCCTGCCAAATTCCAGAAAGGTCAAGGACTTATCAAGGTTAAAATGCTTAGGGCCAGGGATTTAGCTCAGTGGCATCCTGCCTGCCTCGAAAGCGCAAGGTCCCAAGTTCCATCCCTGGCGGGGGGGGAGGGGGGGGACGGACGGACGCACAACTGTGGCTCAGAAGACTCAGTGGGGCAGACAAATCAATGAGGAATCTCTCCAAGTCCCAGTGTCTTCTTTTTGGGGGGGTACCGGGGATCAAATTCGGGTCCTTACGCTTGTGGACCCAGTCTTCTATGGCCTGGTTTCTTAATTTATCATCCCTCAAAAAGAAGTGGCTAGGGCTGGGGATTTAGCTCAGTGGTTCTGCCCCTCCCCTGCCTCCACCCCACCCCACCCCACCCCCCACGTCTCAAAAACACAAGGTCCCAAGTTCGATCCCGGTACCAAAAAAAAAAGAAGTCCCTTTTCAAAGCCTGCCTGATAGTAATTCTCTGGCCAAATACAATGCTCTCCCAAAATTCAATGGGGTCTCTGGTGCCATTCATTAAGAGCAATTTCTCAAGGCCTCACCAGCTTTCTGCCTGTTCAAAAGCTGTCTGTTGGGAAGCCATGAACAAGAGGAATCCTGGCTTTCTACAGCTTCTACAGCTTTCTACTCTTGTTCTCTCACCCAGGTTTCAGAAAGACCCCACGACAACCCAAATGTGCTTCTCCCCCAAGGTCCCTTCTAAATTGGTCTCTTGTCTGAACTGGCCTCAAAGATCCCAAGTCTGGAGTCTACTTTTCTTCGTGTTGAATCTAATCTTATCATGCCATTCTTGAGGCCTCATCCACTCCTACAGAGCAATTCTATGCTGACTCTGGGAGATTCTGAAATCAAGATTGGGCTGTGCCTAAGAGGTCTAACAAAGCCTATGAAGCTCACACGTCCAAGCTCACCTTTTTGGTTTCCTCCCTCCACTAACACTGTCAGCCAACCCACCATAGCTGGGGCTTGGTCACTCATAGGAAAGGGCGAAGGCTGGGCTTACCAGCCTGGAACTGACTCACCACATCAGGTCTAGATCTTCCAAACCTGACAGGGTCCCAAGTGGAATCCCCTCTCGGCCCAGACTCCCTGTCCCTGTCCTTCGTGCAGGAGAACCTATGGGTTCCACAGAGGGAGCAGGAGGTTTCGTGCACTTTCAGCAGGCAGTCAAGCAAAGGAACATTCGCCAGCTGGGCTATGGTCGGGAACTGAATAAGGGTCCCAAGTCCAGCTGCGGCGGGTGGACACCCTTACCCATGCTGGCTCTGGAGCGAGCCAGGTGGCGCTGCCCATCCCTGGATCTTCGCAGACGGGTGGCGGGCCGTGGGGCTACGGTCTGCCCGCTATAGGCTGCCTGCAGAGGTGGCGAGATTCAAGCAGGCCAGGCCAGATGGGGCGGGGCCCTAAATGCCCCATCCGACGGTCAGAACCAGAAAAAAAAGTCTGGCCACAACACAGGCCGGCTCACCAACCATGGTACTGTACGGTCCAGATAGGCGCCTGTCTGGCACTCAGCGTTCCCTACGGCCGCCGCCTCGAGAGGACCGGCGGGAGGCGGAGCCGCGCGCGACACATGGCCCGGGCCCCCGCGCGGCTTCGGGCAGCCAAGGCGGGGGGAGGGGCCTCTCGAGGACTTGCAGCAGAAGCTCCAGGCGGCCCAGAACACGGCTTCTGCGGCCCAGCCCCCGCCCCGGAGTGATAGTCCCAACACTCACCCGAGGGGCTGGCACGATGGCGGCAGCGGCGGCAGCAACCCAGCGCGGTCTGAAACCGACTGTCCCTTCCCCCCTGCCTTCCCTCTCCTGCCCGGTTGCACTATGGGAAACGCAGTCCGACCGCTCTCTTTTCTGGCATTAGCGCGTTAGAAGAAAACTACAATTCCCGGTGTGCTACGCGCGGAGGCCCAGACACAGCCTGCGGCGCGGGAGGAGAGGCTAAACCAGGGAGGGAGGCAGCCGGGGCGAGCCCCTGAGAATTGTGGTCTAGCGGAAGCCTCTGGAACACTGAGGTTGGCGCCAGTCAGGGGTCAGGGCTCAGCGGTCGCTCGGTCCCAGATGGCCTGGCCCCGCCCAAACTGTGCGGCCGAAGGTAGCTGGCCCCTCCTCCGTGAGAGCCCAGTCCAGCCCCGAGCTGGCCCAGCCACTCCACCCTGGGCCCCCAGGCTGTTTCCTCTGGAGAAACCCCTTACCTTCTAGGGCTCTGACTACTTATTCGATTCTTTGATATGTATCACTTTAGTAATCCAGGGCAGAACCCACAACTTCTGCTGTCCTAATATTCCTGAGTCCCGACCCAGGGCCAGACGAGCCCAGAACTGGTTTCGAGCAACTAGGCCTTTTTGGGGGCAAATACTCCTCAGATGGGGCTTGGCTGGACATATTACTCTCACATTTATACAGAGAATGGTCTTCAAAACATTATCATAAATACCCCCCTACACACACACACCAGCAGGTAACTAAGAGTTATTAAAGAGAAATAACTGGCTCAAAGTTTCCCTACTATTTCAGTGACTAGATTGTAAATGATCATCCTTCCACCTTTTGCCCTTTACTTTCAACATCCTTTTGTTTCCTTGGTAACAAACATTTGAAGTAAGGCCTATCTCTAGGTCAAGTCTGTGCTCAGAAAAATAGTTCTACAGCAGCTCTACAGCCAACTTAGGGGATCCCAGGAAAGGAAAATGGTTCCAGGGTTTCCCAGGCAACTCTACGCTTACCCTCCTAGTCAGAGATCCCCAGTACTACAGTTCTTCCAGAATTTTTGCACCATTCCTATCCACCTCCTGGGAATGACTAAAACCAGACTAAGCTTTCTTGATGATTAAATACCAGACCTTTCCAGATCACACTCTGCCTGACTAGAATTCTAGACACTCACCTACTTAGAACTCTGCTTTCCTGCTAAGTGGTGTATCTGTACCTGCAGTCTCCCTTGCTCTATAAACTGCACTCCCTCCAACCAAAACACCACAAAGGGTGTATGCACATAACTCTAGGCACAGAGAGGGTCCAGAGCTGCTGAGAGGTTCAAGAGAGCAAAGCACAAACAGATGTCCCTTTGATGAATGAGTTCAAGGATACACTAAAAAGCATGAACTGGCGCACATTTGTAATCCCAGCACTCGGGAGGCTGAGGCAGGATTGCCACAAGTTTGAGGCCAGCCTGGGCTACAAAGTGAGTTCAAGGCGAGACTGACCTATATAGCAAGACCCCGTCTAAACACACACACACACACAACACCAAAAAAATAAATAAAAAAGAAGTATGAAAAAGGCCTGGAGAAGTCTGTTCAACAAGAGTAGGGAAAAGTGAGACTGACCAGCAAGGGCCCAACTGGCCTCAAACTGCACTGATGTGCTTTTACCATCTGATTTCCAGCCAGAGTTAACCCTTGGAAGGCAGAGACTCAATTCCTTTCCCAACCTGTCACCTATGACAAATGCTGTATACTCTTTCCTTCCCCAGACTTGTTTCCCAACTGAGTGCCAAAGGGCCAGAAAGGAAGAAGAGATGACTGAAGTTTTAAGGCCACTCTAACTTGAAGTCATAAGGCAAGTTCCAGAAGGAAGTCATATTTCATGGAGCCCAAGAGTCTGTGTCCCAACAAACATAATAAACAAGGATAGATTTAAAGATATTTACCTCTCCCCAAGATGGATTTGCATTATCTTGGGGCAATAGATAAAAATGTCACCCTCACCCTTCCAATATCCAAAGATACAAGCAGTCAAAACAATAAATCAAGGGGTCACAAATCCTAACTCCTTAATGCCTTCTGTAGATCCAGACTTTTCACAGTGAAGGTTTACCAAACCCAAAGTATCTATACAAGAGTCTTTGTGGGCTGGGGATTTAGCTCAGTGGTTCCGCGCCTGCCTCAAAAGCTCAAGGTCCCAAGTTCGATCCCTGGTGCCAAAAAACAAACAAAAAAGAGTCTTTATGACTCAAAGAGCCATGGCTGATTCCAGCTGTGGTCTTCACTTGTTTATTAAGTGCATTTACCAGATACTGTGCTACATTTAAGGGATGAAATTGTGAGCAAACTTCAACTCCAGCCGAAAATTTAAGAAATTTAAAACCCTGAGAGGTAGGAGGAACTAACTTCAGTTCTCAGTTACATCTTTTTGTTAAAAGGACACAGGGAGAGTCAGGTATGGTGGCACATGCCTGTAATCCCATCACTCCACAGGCTGAGGCAGAATTGCTGAGAGTTCAAGGCCAGCCTGGGCTACATACTGAGACCCTGTCTCAAAAAAAAAAAAAAAAGAAAAAGAAAAAAAGACAGGGAGAAACTAGGTATGGTGACACAGGCCTTTAATCCCAGCACTCTGGGAGGCTGAGACAGAGGGTCTCAGATTTGATCCTAGCTTGGAGAATTTAAGTGACTAAAGTAAGACCATTTTACAGTAAAAATTAAAGGGCTGTTGGGCATGGTGGCACACACCTGTAGTCCCAGAACTTGGGAGGCTGAGGTAGGAGGATTGCTTCGAGTTTGAGACCATCATGGGCTACAGAGCAAGTTCAAAGCCAGTCTGACTACATAACAAGACCCTGTCTCAACCCTGCCCCCCCCCAAATTAAAGGGCTGAATATGTAACTCAGTCCAAAGGCTCGGGGTACTAGGAGGAGGGGAGACAAACAGGGGAAAAAAACCTGTGGACAAACTAGGACCATTTGGTGCAGTTTCCAGTCTTTGGGATGAAATGGGCCAGAAACCCTTATAAGGCCAAGGTCCATGTGCTAACAGCCACTTTATGGAGAAACCTGGTCAATGAAGCATCTCTACTGTCAAAGTTGGCCTGGTCTTATAGGCTAAGGCTTATTTTTTCATATTTCAAAGCTGTTCAGCAAAGTTTTATAAAAATAAAATGCCAAAACCCAAATAAAAACCTTACTTCTTGTTTAATTTGTTTTGCCAAACACAGTGAAAACTTTAGTCTAATTGTACAGAAAATAGAATTTGTAACCAGTAGCAAACATAACAAGTTAAACCTAAGTCCCTGGCAAACTGGATCTCCATCAGCAGGTCACCCAGATCCCCTCATAAATGGCCTCCTAGTAGGGAGATCCTAAGAGGCAGAGGCACATATCAACTAGTCCCCATCAGAATCACAGACTGCACCTGAAAAGGGTAAGCATGAAAAGGAAGGAACTGATGTTACTTGAATCTCTTATCACTACACACAGTCAAATTGTCTCTGATTGCTAGCCAACCTTAAGGTGTGGCTTTCCCAAACTCAGTCCCCAGGCATCCCACCTGAATCCCTCTGAGGTGTTTCAAGTTCAGTGATTCTGAAGCCTCTGCTTAACCAGAATCTGCAACTGGAGAAGGAGAGTAGATAGTCATTAATTGCTGGTGTCACCAGTGCCGAGTCTGAGGCCCCAAACTCCTGTTCAAGAGGAAACAAGTTAGAGTGCCAGATCCCCAGCAAGCGTCCAGCTGCCTTAAGCCTCAGTACTGTCGACCAAAGTATAGAAAAGTCAACATTGGCCTGAGGATTCCTTGGGCTGGAGGGGGTCCAGGAGTTCTTCAGGCCACAGTAAGACCCATTCACATCCCGTGCTTCTTACGGATGACAGCCATGGCAAGCAGACGATCCTTTTCACGAAGCTCTTCTCGAAGTTTGGCCTCGGTGAGACGCAGGTGGCGGATGCTACCCTTCATCTCTTTCATCTTCACTTCCATCAGTGCCAGGATGTCCCGCTGCTCATTCAGCTTGCGCAGGAGCTCCTCCTCCGTGGTGCCTGACGATAACGAGTATGAGTGGTCAGAACCAGTATCGGGGAAGCCCTCTTCACCTACCACCACCAACTGGGGGCCCATCGGGCACTCCGCGGCCTCCAGCCCAGCTGTGGCAGCTTCTAGCTCTGACGCGGCGGCTGCGGCGGCTGCGCCCTCTGCGGCTGCGAACTCCACTTGCACAGTAAGGTCGATGGGCTTCACATCTTCTCCGGTGGGAGTGGTGGGTGCCGGCGGGCCAGATCCAGGAACCTGACTGTTGTCCACAGCAGCCTGAAGGGTGAGAAGCACGGCTGCAGAGGCAGACACCAGGTTCGGCTGCAGTTGGGAGGTCTGGGTAGCGGAGACGGACGGCGACGGCTGCTGCTGCTGCTGCTGTTGTTGCTGCTGCTGCTGTTGTTGCTGCCTGCGGCGAGCGGCCGCGGCCCCCGCGGGTCTGCGCGCTACTTTGCGCTCATTGACGCCGCGCAGCGGGAAGATGGTGGGAACACGCACCGTGTAGGTCTTACGGCCGCCCTGGAAGTGAACGCTGCAAAGACGGTGGCCCGTGGTGGGCTGGAAAGTGGAGAAGCACCCACTGACGCCAGCACGGGACACGTTCTTGAGCCAAAGGCGCCGCAGCTCAGCGTCCTTGGGAAATGTATAGAAATGCAGAGCCTTGTCCCGGTGCGAGTTGTTGTAGCAGCCCGGTACGCAGCACGTAAAGCCAGGCATGGCTGCGCCGCGCGACTGTGCGCGGCCCACCGGCCTCCTCCGCGCTTCGACGGCCCGGTTTGTCCGCTGCCTCCAGCCCCTCGACGGGCGGCGCCCTGCGAGGCCTTAAGCAATCTCCCACTATTGCAGCCTGACACAGTTGGCCCAACTGGACGCCCAGTGCCAGAATACGCTTCGCACGGGACCGCGCTGCACCGCCCGCCTGGCCGTCTGCCTGCGATCCGGAGTCGGCCCGGGGGACGCAGCGAAGGACCGCCTTGGAAGAAGGACTACGCCCCCCACAATGCACCGCGTCAGGAGGAGCTCACTTCCGGGGCGGGGGCGTGTTTATTCCGTCCGCTTTCCAGGGCACCGCGAGAGCCTCACAGGGCGAATTCTTTTCCTGACCTGGCTAGTCCTCGGCGGACGAAGCGTATTCGGTTGGTACTTTGTCGTATGGAGTGCGCCTCACAAGGACCAGGAATCCTGATGGAGGCAGTGGGAGGGAGCGCGCCACACCAATGCGCAAGCGCAAGGAATATGTGCCACAGAGACTACAAGCCCCATAAGGCTTCGCGGGAATTTAGAGGCTGAGGCACCGAGCGCCGTCTAAGGGAGAGGTGGAGTTACTGCGGATCAGAATTCCGGCGGGGTTGTGCTGCGTGCCAGAAGTGGTCGGTTTTCCAACCCCGAGCACTTTTGAGAAGACGGCATTCCTGTGGGGGGAGGAGGAAGAAACCTAGGTCTTGCTCCCCCGAGGACTTCAGAGGCTATTTTCTCTCTACTTGGGAGTCTCCGACTCAGCTACTACCTTTGACTCATTTACTGACCTAAATTAAGTCATTAATAGGCATGTACCATCTGCCGGACACAATGCAGGGAATTGCGGCGAACCTGACCGACCCGGCAGGCATCTCCCACCTGGACCCTGACCACCTGGAGGGCTAAGAGTCTATGTTTTGGATAATAGATGAGAATGTACGTGAATGAATGTCTATTCAGAAATGAACGCTGTAAAGGAATGAACAGGGCAGAGGAGAAAATGGGGGCTGGTGCCCTTGAAGATGAAAGAATGAAAATCTTGGGAGTTGGGAACAGATCTTGCCTTCTTGTCCTGGAACCAGTCTATAAGGCACAGAGGCTAGGCCTACCCTTACAGGGCCAGAAAGGGGGTGGCCAGGATAGTAGAATCTCTGAAAGTTATCAAACTGGGCCATGTTGAAGGTTTTTGGGCTATGTTGAAGGGTTTTGAATTTTATCCTACAGGTGATTGGAAACTATTGAAGGATTTTAAGAGAAAACATTTGCATTATAACAAGACAGCGCCTTCTCTGCCTCGCCATCTTTGGTGGAAAATGTTTTAAAGTACACAACAAGCCAGGTGTGTGCCAAACTCCTGCTATCCCAGCACTCTGGGAGGCTGAGGAAGGAGAATCAAATTCCAGCCCAGCCTGGGCAGTTGAATGACTTAGAGAGACCTGTCTCAGAAAAAACAAAAATGAAAAACGAAACAAAAAGGGCCTAGAGATGCAGCTAAGTGCAAAGGCACTGGGCTCACTTCTGAAACTCATCTATACATGGTATAAATGTGAATACAGAAATACACTTTTGGGGGAGATTGTTTTTTTTTTTGTACCGGGGATCGAACTGGGGACCTTGACCTTTCGCTTTCGAGGCAGACAGCGGCACCACTGAACTAAATCCCTAGCCTATATATATGTATATATATGTATATGTATATATGTGTATATATGTATATGTGTGTATATGTATATGTGTATATGTATATGTATGTATATGTATATATAGAGACGTATATATGTATATATGTATCTATATTGAGACAGGGTCTCAGTTCATCAGTTCAGCCTGGCCTTGAACTCATTATGTACCCCAGGCTGGCCTGGAGCTCTCAGCAGTCCTCCTGCCTCAGCCTCCCAGTGCTGGAATTACAGGTGTGAGCCACCAAGCCCAGCAAACCTTTTCTCCTTTAAAAATAAAATAAAACACTATCCAAATTCCTTCCTAGATCCTGTAGAACCTCACATAATCTGGCCCTTGCCAATTTATCTCACTTCTCCCTCTCCCTCCTTTCAATCCAATGTTTTGTTTTGTTAACAAGCCAGCATTCTGTGATCTCAATTAAAGGCCAGCGTGGACAATTTAATGACTTCCCAAGACCTTGTCTTAAAATAAAATTAAAAAAAAAAAAAAAGTTGGGCATGTAGTTCAGTGAGATCTTGGGTTCAATCCTCAGTACTGCAAAATTAATGAATGAATGCAGTAGCTGGGCATAATCAAGCATCAGGCACCTGTAGTCCCAACTTTTTAGAAAGCTGAGTCAGATGGCTCACTTGAGCCCAGGATTTTGAGGCATCCTGGACAACAAAGGAAGACCATCCATCAAAACAAAAACCTGGGTGTGGTGGCAAAGGCTTGTAATCCCAACACTCTGGGAAGTTGAAGCAGGAGAATCACAAGTTTGAGCCCAGCCTCGGTGATTTAGCGACTTAATGAGACCCTGTTTCAAAAAAGAAAAAGGGCTGGGTTTTGTAGCTCAGTATGAAGCGCTAAACTCAGTACCCAGTACCGGGGGGGGGGGGATTCCTTATCAAGTGGGTATCATCTGAAATTTGCAGATGAGAAAACCAAGAAGTGGACTAGGTGGATACATTTGCTCAGCCTAACGTTTGGTTAAGACTGCGTGGAGAGCCAGATTTTGCAACCACAACCGCAAGCGCTTGTATGGCGGTAAGGCGAGAACTACCATTCCCGCGAGCCTGTGGGGTATCATCGCGAGATTTATCTTAAATGTGGCGGCGGGAATGCTGTGTTTACGGCTGTCTTGGCAGTTAGCAGGGTGGCTGAGAAGATGGCGAACATTTACAGCTCGGACTGCGAGTCCACAACGCGTACGCTCTTGCGGCATGTGCTAGACACAGCCGACTCTTGCACCCCGCGGCGACGCCGGAGTGCTCGGATTAGGTATGTGGAAGCGCTGTGTGAGCTACTAGAAGAACTGGGGAGTAGGGTCTGGATGAGAGCTAGTGCCGAACCTGTTGGAGAGGGAAACTGAGTCTGGGAGGAGGAGAAACAGAACGTTGAGAACTGGTTCCACTTCTTTATCCGGGATCGGATCCGTTCTTTGTGCCTGCACCCCTGGAGACAAAGGATAGGAGCTCTATTCTCTAGCTATTTTGCTCAAACTAACTCACAGAGTACAACCAGGCATCTGCCCCTACCTCCTAGGTGGTTCTCACTTTTCCCTGCGGATTGTTTTCTACTTTCTCTGTGGCTCCCAGCTGGATGATGGGAAAAGAACTAGGGAGCACAGCCTGCACAGAAGTCAGGAGGCAGGAATTGTAAAGATGCTTTGCAAGCAGGAATTTGTCCTGACTTGGGAGTGTCTGTGGGGGAGGGCTGTGGTAACCTCGTGGGGCAGAGGGTGCAGAAGTTGACATCTGCCCGATTGGGACCATGCAGTCGTTTTCCTTATAAAGGAATGGGAAGTCAGCCCTGTGTGGTGACACATCCCTGTTATCCCAGCACTCTAGGAGGAGGCTGAAGCAGGAGGATTGAAAGTTCAACCCCAGCGTGGATAACTTAGTAAGACCCAGTCTCAAAATTTTAAAAGGGTGGGGAATTTAGTGCAAAGGCCCTCAGTTCAACCTCCAGTACCAAAAAGAAAAAGGTCATTCGTGACAGGTTTTAGAACTATGAGTGATGATGTGATATGTCTCTGAGAGGGATTAAACTGGAAAGACAGGGATAGGGTGACCCGTATGATTGTTGTCAAACTCAGACAAGTACTTAAGGGGATTAAAAATACTTAAATACCTTTTTGGGTTGTTACTTTAATGTCTGGAGGGGCTGGGGATTTAGCTCAGTGGTTCCAGCACCTGCAAGCACAAGGTCCCGAGTTCAATCCCTGGTTCCAAAAAAAAAAAAAAGATCAGTACTTTAATGTCTGGAGTGGATAATCTTCCAATTGCCCCTCTAGCCTGTGTGACTAGCTCCTACTTTCCTTTATGATTCTGCAAAAGTCACTTGTATGAAATCTTCCTCATCTCCCTCTCCCTTCTGGCTGGAACAATCATATTCCCCGTGTTTTTTTTTTTTTTTTTTGGTACTGGAGATCGAACTCGGGACCTTGCACTTTCGAGGCAGGCGCCAGAACCACTGAGCTAAATCCCCAGCCCCATATTTCCTCTCTTTCCAAACCCTTCATCCTCAGTTGACATGTGTCTGGGAACAGGGACTACAGTAGGCACAAGTGGTTTCTGGGTTCCTGTCCCCAAGGGACTTTAGGTCAAGACCCCTGCTGAAGACAAGTCTGCATCCTCTAGGCCCTACTCAGAACCGTTTGTTGGTCTTTACACAGTGCCCAGAGAGCCCTGCTTGAAACACCTTCCCCCAAGAGGTGGAGTAGCCAAACAAAGACAACTGCCAGGGAGCGTTCTCATGGAGCCAGAGTAAGTATCCAGCCCACTGACCAGCTTCATGGAGCCCTGAGGTTTATTTCTGCTCTGGTGCCCACCATGAGGGAATCTCAAGGCAAAAAGAACAGACCAGACTGGTTACATGGTGGTTTTGTCCATAGTCTACTGGCAGATTGGCTCGTGGTCAAGCTGGTGGGCACCTGGAGGAACAGACTCCCCGGACTCTGCTGAAGAACATCCTACTAACTGGTGAGTGAGTACTGGCCTGACAGTGTTAGGCACCAGTTGAACACCAGTCCTGTGGCATCCTTCATTGAGGGTAGCCTGTTGTGTTGGCCCTATCTTCTCCATGGTGTTTCTGCAGCCCCAGAATCTTCTATTGTGATGCCAGAGAGAGTGGTGAAGCCAGCACCAGCACCCCAAGTGGCCCAGCCCTCCAGACAGGAAAGCAGTAGGGGCAGGTGCATAGTGAACTCCCCTCCTTGGCTGGGCTGTTGGGTAGCTCTGGTCTGGGAGCCTCTTGGGAACCCCAAAGACTAGCAGGGGAAGAATTTCCTTCTTAGCCTAAGATAGGCTCTCTCCTTACAGCCTAGAACTTCAACTTCCTGAGCTTGAGCCTCCCCCAGCCCTGGCTCCAGTTCTGCTGGCCTCTGGCAGGAGGAAACAGAGGCTGAGGTTGTCAGTGTTTCAGCAGCAAGTGGACCGGGGACCCCAGAGACTGCCTCTCTCCCAAGGTGAGGCCTAGGATACCACCTGTTTTTGTCTTCAACATCCTGTCCTCTGGAGAGGCTAAGGAGGCCTGAGAAAGGACTTTCATGGGCCTGGTTAACTTACCATGGTTTCTTCTTTTTACATCCTCTTACTGGTCACTGACAGAGCCTCCTGGGAATCCTGATGCCTCGTCCCTCACCAGGTGCTGTTGTCTATTCTGGGGGTGGTAGAGCAGAGGGTTGGGGAGTGAGGTGCTGACTGATGGAATTGGAATCTGGCCATACTGCTCCCAGCTGGTTGTAGTCTCACTGCATGGCCACATTCTAAAAGATGAGGGCTTCAGAGCAGATGGGAGAATCCTCTGGGGAAACTGGGCCTCAGGTATTTGACTTTTCTTTGTGCTTCCTCCCTTCCACCAAGCTCCCTCAGTCTGACCTTTGCTACACCTCTTCAGCCAGAGTCAGTGAGGAGACCTGGGTTGGCCCGAAGACCTCCCACCCGCCGCGCTGTAGATATGGGTGCCCTTTTGCAGGATCTGCAAGATAATTCCCTGGCCTCAGTTCCTCTAGGTAAGGTTCTGTTTTCCCCTTTCAGCCTTTGGAGAAAGACACCCCCTGTGGTAGATAGGAGGTGCTGCTGAGTCTAGGGGTGCACCTCTTCTGGTGGGACAGTGTGTGAACCTGACCTTATGTCTAAAGGACTTTCAGCTTTTATCCCTCAAGGTGCCTGTTGGCCTTGATGGGGCTCAGTCTTAATGTATTTATGGCTTCCAGGATTTCATGTTCTTGAACTACAGGGCTAAGGGTAGGAAAGTGATGTGTTTTGGTACCTAGAGCTTTAGGAAAGTTGAAAAAGGGTAGGTTTCATGATCGGCTAGCTTGTTAGAACTGACCTAGGGACCTGATTCCAGAAGACAAGTTCACCAAGACAGAAGGGAGCATTCTTGGTAGAGGAAGAAGTAGAAAGCAGAGGTATGGGAAACCAGCTGTGGGATGTTGGGGTTAGGGGCAAGCTGTGAAGACCTGGAAATGCCACCCAATGAGCGAAGGTAAGCAAGGCGAGCTGTGGAAGATAAGGCTTAGAGTCTAAACCATTTCTCTGTCAAGGCCACTTAGGCAGGGAAGACCTAGAGTGCCCACTGCCTAGACCCTGGCAATTCTGGGCATCAGCAAGTAGTTTTGGGATATACTGAATGGCCTGCTGGATCTTGATCTCCAGGTGACAGCCTCAGAACTCCTGTTGCTACTCAGCCAACAGACACTGTGTTAGAGGATACCCAGCCTTTCTCACAGCCCTTGGTTGGCCACTCCCTCAATGTGCATCACTCCCTGCCATGTCCTTACCCTGGGCCTGAAGGTACTGAGAAGGCTGTGCGTCACAGGACACAGAGCAGCATGCCTGGGCTGCAGAACCACAGTGAGTATGTGGGGCAGGTGGCCTGTAGCCAAGCTTAGCTTGGGGAAAGTTACCTCTGGTGGCTTTCTCTCCTCAAGCCTGTATGTGGACCCTAGACTTTCCTGCCTCGGGGTCCCTCCTCCACCCAAGAGCACAGTCAGTGTTGGGCCAGGAGATTCCAAATTATTGCCTGATACTATGTCTGACTTGGTCTCTTCTCAGTGAGTGAGGCTGGCTTTGCTACTCCATCTTTACCCTTTTTGGAGCTACAGCCTGGGCCTCCTGCTCCTTCAGAGGTGACAAAAGCAAAGAGATCCCAGAGGGCTCTGGAGCCTGAGGACCCAGAAGGATCTTCAGGGGATGAGGACATCTCTGACAGGCCAGGTAAAAGGCCAAGTATGGGGAACAGCAGATGAGTGGTGACAGCTATGTTTAGGCCATGGCACATAGAGAGTACCTGGGTTTCTTCTGGGAACTGGTGATGTTTGGGACCAGGGAGACTCTGAGGGGCAGTTGCTTGGATGGAGCTAAGGGAACCCTTTGAGAAATAGGACAAGGAGACTAGACCTGCACAGCAGGATGGCATGGCCATGCCTGAGCCCCCTGTACCCTCCTTTTTCTCTGTAGCAAGCCCAGAATCGGTCTCCAACGTCCCTGAGTTTCTTCAGGCCAAACAACTGGATCAGTTTCTTGAGCCAGCCCCATCACCTGATGTTGCAGTGTAAGATCCCATGACCCTGTTACTCATGGGCCTCTTGAGAAGGGGGCAGATACTCAGGTTGGCATTGGGTACCCATACACATAGTCATCCCCACAGGTATGCCGATGATTACCCAGCCCAGTAGCCTGAACTGGGCTGGCGATTGCTCCCCAGGAGCTTATCTGGAGAGATAAGAGCCTGCCTCTGGGAGCTAAGAGGAATCTGGAAAAAATAACCTAGGTCAATGTATAATCAGAGAAAGCTTCCTGGAGGACTAGCAGAATTGGGACAGGAAATGATGGACTCCTAAGGGGAGTGACTATGTGCTTGCTTTGGCAGCACATATACTAAGGGGAGTGACTATTCATTCAGAGGTGTAAAAGTCATATGCCTGAGCAAGTGCCAGTGATATGAAGAAGCTAGAGTAGGAGATTGTGTCCAGACTGAAGGAACAGGGTCCCAGCAAAAGACCAGGTCTCTGTATGGCCCCCTGATACTACTGCCCCTTAGCAGATGATTGGAACTGCTGGTCCAGGCTGGCTAAGGAGCACGTGGACCCAGTTTTAACAGGAACGAGCAGGACTTGTCCTTAAATAGGGCCCTTTTCAAACAGCAGTTTAGCCACCTCTGTCCACTCCTGCCCCCAGCTTGTCTTCAGAGCCTCCAGAGCCTGTGTTGGCCAGACTTCCCTCCAGGCCCCGAACTGGTGGTCCTAGACCCCGTCAAGATCCCCATAAGGCTGGACTGAGCTACTATACAAAACTCTTCAGCTTCTATGCTAAGATGCCTATGGAAAGGAAGGCTCTTGAGATGGTGGAGAAGTGGTGAGTCTTGGACACCTGGGTGAAGAGAGGAGATGGTCTGGTTATGAATGCACTATTCTATTTGGTCTCTTCTATCCCAACCTTCTTGGCAGCCTGGATAAGTACTTGGAGCACCTTTGCAATGACCTGGAGGTATTTGCTGCTCATGCGGGCCGCAAGACTGTGAAGCCAGAGGACCTGGAGCTGTTGATGCGACGGTGAGCAGGCAAAAAAGGGAGGCTGGTGTGGGTGTGCTGGTGCTGATTCTGCCTACCCCTCTCTTTCTCTGCTGCAGGCAGGGCCTGATCACTGACCAAGTGTCATTGCACGTGCTTGTGGAGCGGCACCTGCCCCTGGAGTACCGGCAGCTGCTCATCCCCTGTGCGTTCAGTGGCAATTCTGTCTTCCCTGCCCAGTAGTGGCCAGGCCTCAATGCTTTCCATCTCCCCACCTGGGACCTCTTGGCCCTGCCTAATCCTTCAAGTCTTGTCCTCATTTCCTATCATCAATAAAGTGTCACATGACAAGAATAGTCTGCTTTTTGGTACATGTCCTGAGACCAGCCCAGATTTCCTTCTTCCCTCCCCAACCTGACTCCCAGCACAACCTGGAAAATGGCATGGGTTCAGACAAACAATTTTTATACTAAAAATTGGGTTAGCAGCATTGGAGCACTCAGGCTGCCCATGGTAGTTTTAGCTTGCAGACTCTGGTTCTCGAGGCCCTATACGCTTGACGTCAGCCATCTGAAGCTGTTCCATTGCAGTCTGGAGCCTTGTCATAATGTCCTCATTCTCATCCTCTGGCAGTTCTGACACAGGGATCTGGAAGGCCTGGCTCAGGTGAGTGTTCAGAGTCTGCTTGTCCAGAGTGGGATCGATGATCATCAGGGCCCTCTGCAGCTTGGAAAAAGTTACCTCCTCATAGCTGCCCCATAAGAGAGAGAGAGAGAGAGAGGTTTGAGTCCTCCTGTCTACCTCAGACTCTACCATGCCCTCCTGTCTGTCAGGTTTGAGCAGTTTATAATGTCCATCAGCATGCAGAAAGACCCATGCAAAGAGATGCCACCCTATAGGGCTTGTTCAGACTGTAGAACTAATCAATGGCTGAGTGGGCCTATGGGCCCTGGGGTCACTCACAGTTCCATGCCCAGCTCCTGCTTTAGTTCCTGTAAGTACTCATCCTTCTCAACCATGTACTGTTCCCACAGCTTTTGCACAAAGGGTTCGCTCTGACCCTCCTCATCCTGGGAGGGTCACAAGGCAGGGTGAGGCTCCACAGACTAGGGTCCAGTCAAGGCAAGAATAGGAGCTAGGCAAGGTTCCGGGCCCCACACCCACCTCCTTAAACAATGAGCGGTAATCAAGCAAGTCTGCACTGGTGCTGTTGGGATGCCAGCCCCCTGCCTCCATCAGGTGCTGAATATGTTCTTCCTTCTTGAGGGGAAAAGTGCTCTTGAGGATGGTGCTGTGAGGAAACAAGAGGGCCAACAGGAGCCTCACAGAGGCTGTTCACCCATCTCCCCATACCCTCCTCTGTCATACTACTGGTGTTCAGAACTTTGAGCTTTAAGCTGTGGCCCTTCCTACCAGGCTCCCCTTTTCCCTGCATAGCTGGGAGGCTGGCCAGAGGAGACGTTGAACTAGAGTTTGGGGTGGCCTGGACTGGCCTCTCACCTGAACTGCTCCATGGTTAATAGCCCCTCATTCTGACTGTCAGCATTTATCATCTCCTTCAGCAGCTGGGCTACTGTCTCTTTCTGGTTGATATACACACTCTCTGTCATCTACAGGAATGAAAGCATTTACTAACTTGCTGCTTCCTAGAGGTATGGGCAGAGCTGGGTTGTGCTGGGGAACAAAAACACCTTCCATCTCCCCAAAGAAACAGGCTGGAGTCAGTCCCAAGCTCACCTTTCCCATCAAGATTGCATAAAACCGACTCATGACCTCATTGGAGCGGAAAAGCTTGATATTTTCAAAAATGGTATATGCCCAGGCTATGGCATCACTCGGCCCAAAGCGATGCTCCAGGAAATTGAAGAAGAAATCTGGAAACTTCTCTTTCTGCAGGGTATGGAGAAGGGGATGTTTGGTCAGTCTGACCCATGATTGATTGCCCCTCTCCCTTCTCCTAGCACTTTGAGAGCAGTAGTGGCGAACCTATGGTATACATGCTTCAGCGGGCTATTTGTATTACGGAAAGGTCTAAAAGGTTCACCATCACTGCCCTAAAGGACTCTGGTTCTGAAAGCCACAATGGGCCAATTTGACTGGTGAGAGCTGACCTGTTCCTTTGAGAGACGTTCCTTCCAGGCATCCTTAAGGAGCTTTACCACATCTTTCTTGCTTGGTTTTTTGTTCTTCACAGGGCCATCAAACCGAAGAAAAGGGGGGACTGCCTCCCCATATCCCTGTAAGGCAGATGTCAGCTCATGTCTGGGCCCCTCCCTAGCAAGGAAGAGCACCACATGGTGACCCCAGCTCAAGCCTCAGCAGCAAGGTCTGACTTTTGACTTTGGCCCCAACCCTCCTATTCAGAGACTCCCCTACCAGACCAGGGAAAAACTCTTTCTCCCGGAGCAGGCCTTCGCCAATCTCTTCCAACAGCACATCCACCAGTTGCTCACTGTTCTTGCCTTCAGCCAGCATTTGCCAGCGATCTTGGCCCCCGGCCACCACATCTGCGGGTAGAGAGAAGTTGGATTCTAGCTCATGCCCTTCAGCAGGCCTTGAGACTCGGATGGCCATCATTACCTGCACACTTGGTCCAGTCAGGTCGTGGTGTGGAGGTGCGCTGGATATCCTGCAGCTCAGAAGAGAACTGGTCCCGTTCTTTCAGTGTGGTCATATGCAACTGCAGCAATATTTCATGCTCCTTGCGGACCTCTTCATAGTCAGCTCTCAGGCTGTCCAGCTGTGGGCAAGGTGGTTGGTCCTAGCTACCCACCTCTCTGACACTGCCCTACCAGTGCCTGGCTCTGCCCACCCACCAGCACCTGCTCTTGAAGATCCTTATTGGTCTTTTCCTGCATTTCAAAGTCTCTCCTGGGTACCACATCTCCAAAGTTAGCCTTCATGGTGTTGAGTTCCATCTGCGTGTGGGTCAGGTCTTGCCGAGTCATCTTCAGAGCCAGTGTTAGCTTCACAGGGTCTTCCCCCCAGACACCTGTCGGGGCCCCGCCAGCCTATGTCACCCTAGCTCTCAAGCTTGTGGCCTAAGGCTAACTTATGTATCCCTTGGGGCATGCCTGAGGTCCTTCTGCCCTCCCTGCTTGGGATTCTCTAGGTCTTATACACAGTACTACCATCCTTGGGGTTTGTCTAAAGTAGAGAACCCCCAGACATGGGGACATGGGGTACCAGGCCTGCCTATCCCACAGGACAGTCTCAGCTGCCAAGAGTATTACTACTTAATGGTTTTACAGTTTTTGGCCCAGCTCAGAAAATCCACTGCCCCAGCTGGTGTCAGGGACATCTCTCAACATGCATGAGCACAGAATGAGCAGATATTAGCAATACTGAATGAACAGGGGAAGTGGTGAGAGCCAGACTTTTTTTTTGGTACCAGGATCAAACTTGGGTCCTTGCACTTGAGCAGCAGGTAGTGAAACCACTGAGCTAAATCCCCGGCCCCTAGACTTCTATCTAGCACTTCAGAAGAGGAGAGAAGTTCAATTTGGGGTACCTGGGGACTGGGCTAATGACATGTCCTCCCGCTGGTATCGTAATTCATTTAAGTCTGCAATGAGAATCTTTCGGGCATCTCGCTCAGTGAGGTAGCGCAGGTACTCCTCAGCCAAGTTCTTCCTCAGCTTGGACACCTGTTAGGAAAGTGGCTGGTAGTAGGGGGCTTTCCTTGCCCCTGTAGCCAGCTACTCTCCACCGGGCTAGGGTGGGTGTTGGGTGGTCCTCTCAGTCTAGGAACAGAAAAGGTGGGGCCAGGTGTGGTGCATGCCTTTAATCCCAGCACTCTGGGAGGCTGAAGCAGGAGGATAAGGAGCTTGAGTCCAGCCTGGGCAACTCTGGTTTAGTGATAATGTATCTCAAAATTTTAAAAGGCTGGGGATGTAGCTTAGCGCGAAGGCCCTGGGCTCAATTCCCAGGACCACAAAGAACAAAAAACAAAACCAAAAAAGAAAAGTGGCTCTTCCTGAGAACTCAGAAAAGCACTGTGGAGAAGGCTTGCTGGCACTTGGAGTCATGCTGAGCCCCTCAGAAAAGCAGAGGGGAGGGTAGAAATATTAGAGGGTCTGGGGGGAAAGGGCTGGCTCTGTCTTCCAGGCAGAAGGGTGGGTGATAAGGTTAGGGGTCACCTCAGTGCTCAAGGTCACTCCTAGAGATGGCGCAGGAATTCAGGAACTTGATGGGCACATCACTTCCATTCACCTCACTCTGCAATGAAATCTTCTCCTCGTTCTTTTTGTCAATAAGTTTTAGCAGATTCATCTTCTCTTTCTTGAGCATAGAGATTTCATACTTCTCCTCAGCCCTCATGGCCAGGATCCTCTCATTGCAGTCCTCACTCATGGTGATAAGCTGGCCCTTCAGGGGCTCCAGGGCCCGAATCTTCTCCTTTTGGTGGGCTAAACAGAGACATGTGGGAGAGTCCTTTTGGGGCCATGGAAAACAAACAGCCAGGAAACACAGATCCTAAGTCATAGGTGAGTGGCTGTCACTTGCAAACACCAGGAGTCTATGCTCACCTTGTTCAGTCATGGCCCCTCCTTAAAGCCATCCTGTACTAGCTTTTAAAGCAGGGGCAGAGTCCAACTATGAGTCTCCTAAGTCTCTCCTACAGCCTTACCCCTATGCCTTTAGTGTTGCAGCTGCAGCCTGCTTGAACCTGGTGGGGGAGCTCACTCCAGAGGTACTCGCTCTCCTGGGGTTCCTTCTGATTCCTACAGGTATTGCTATGCTTCTCAAGGATGAGAGGACCCTGGGGTGTTCTATTACAGTATATGTAAAAGATGACTTCAAAGCCCGGTTAGTAGCTGCCCAGCCTTTGCTGTAGAACCCCTGAAAGGCAGAATAGGATTCCTCACTAGACCCCAAAGTGGAACTGCGTTTTTGTTTTTTGTTTTTTCCAGTATTAGAGATTGAACTCAGGGCCTTTACACTAAACTACATTCCTAGCCCTTCTTCATTTCTGATTTTGAGACAGGGTCTCACTAAGTCACTAAGTTGCCCAGGTTGGGTTTGAACTTGGATCCTCCTGCCTTAGTGTCCCAGGATGTTGGGATTACTGGCATGCACAACCATACCTGAGGGGCTGGGAGCTGCATTCTTACCCAGCATCACCTCATATGCATTCTTGATGGAGGATAGCAGTGGCTTGTATGTTTTGAAATCCTCTATGAAGAACTCAAAGATCTCCCTGTAAGGCTGGCAAAAGAAGGGAACCTTTCACTTCCTGTCCCATAGCTGCCATCCTCAGTGGGGACCTGTATTTTTCTTCACTGGGCTCAGAAGTGTCCCCATGTGAGACTGCCAGGTAACCCCTATCAAGTGAATGTCCTGGCCACTATTTA